GCGGCCCCGCGATATCCCGTCAGTTCGGAAACCCTCATTGTAAATTAGCATGCAGCTGGAGGACTGGACGGGTATAAAAATCGTTTGCGGAAACGTAAGTCGGAGAAAATCTTGATTGGAAGCGAAGAGTAGCAATCACCAACGACTGATTATAGCTAAGTCTCATTTAATTGCAGGCCTGCGAATCGTCGCCGGTGTGTAGTTAACCGAGGTTGGCCTGGTCTCTGTAAACTTTTGATGCAGCTGAAAGTAGCAGCCAACCCACTCTTCAAGTGACTATTTACCCGTAGATACAGTAGGAGACAAAAGGGTTGTAATCTTGTGGTTTACAAAGTAAAAGTTTTTTTGCTTTTCGCAAAGATTGATAAAACACAATTTACTTGCACTCTAGTCTGACAAGAGGGCACATCTGGACTAAGGTTAAAATATAGTACATTAACTAATTATAAACTTCCTGTCGGATTGAGACTCCGCGCCTTTTGTTGAATTAGAAACGGAAATAATTTAAAATTATTTTTGCTTACAGTACTAAAACCAAACAAATATTTTAGTTAGGCCTCTAAAGCTAATGTGCTCAAAACTCACTTAAAGGAGACTATTGTTATATGATTTATGTAAAATTTTGTTCGACAAGACATCTGTTTTTGACCCTCCCATTTTATCTATCATTGATGGCAACATAAACGTGTTTACCTAGGTGGAGGACAACGTGTTCAGTGCAAAGCAGACGTTTACTAAAATAATTCCAGTAACTATGATGCAATTTTTGATATTTTATTCGGCAACTTTACCGCGATATAATTATTCTCCCTAAAAGAGTAGAGCAATCAGGAAATCGATAAGAAGTAAAAAGTTAGAAATTTGGTCGCTGCAACAAGAATTTTGTCTGATTGATGTCCTCATAGTCACTGGAAACCATGATAAGAGGCAACCACAGATAAGGATGCATTACTTTTAAGCTGCAGTTGTTAAGATTATCACAATATACCATTTCCGCATATAATTATATGGTTAATTCAGTTAGTAAATAACTTAGGTTTTGTGTGTCTGAGGCATCTGTCAGGACAGGTCCTTGTTGTCTGACTTCTACACCAATGCGAATAAGTAATAGAAATTCTTACCAAGAAACCGACGCTTAGCTCGGCAGGTTCTGCCTGCAACTTTATTTGGAAACTTGCAAAAGACTTTTGGCAAAACCATACATTAGCCACTACCGTTGACTGCATTTTGCGGTTCTATTGGGTAACTTAACGGAATAGAAATGCATCATTTACAAAGCCACCGCATCAAAGCTGAAATTTCTTTGGAAAATTATCGAAAATCGAACGAAGCGAATTATTTCTTCTGCTACCATGTTGCCATGACAACGGTGAGGTCATTAATCACCCTGGAGGATTTACAAAGGCAGAAGAACTTGTCGTCATAACTACATAATCTTGCACTCCTGCGGAAAAGTTTATTGTAGAAATTTAAAAATCCCTTGATGACGCCATGCAGCGCAGATAAGTAAACGACAAAATCCGATCTCATTTCAGGAACTAATGGCGGCAACAGGCACGCAACGTAACGAATGCGAAAAGGTTCAGTATCAGCATCTTCGTTTTGCAAATGCGAGAGACTCAGTCTGAGTGGGATCTTTCCAAGAATATCATTTTAGTCACGGAATGGCCGTCATAAGAAAGAGATTTGTTAGCAGAAACGAAACTTCTACTCACCTGACCTTTCGGATGTTCGCTGAAAGTCGTCATGAGAAGCGGTTGCAGAAAAGGCCGTAGTTGCAAGGATTACTACAGTACAAAGCTCCCGCAGGAAACAATATTATCAGAAAATACTGCATTCCTTTGTACCAATACTGTCATCTGTGTCTGTCTCTGATGACGCGTTCGAATAAAAACCCGAAGCATCGGGCGAATACCATTTCAGGGACAATGATCGCATCCCACCCCCCCATCGGCTATGCCCCTTGCTCGAACTCCCCTTCTCTTCTGTATTGAAGATATGGAGTGCCTTATGTTCCTCGTTGACAGTCTAAACAGATAACTTGCGTTTTGCCTTATTATTTCACGGTTAGCATACTTTGGAATTTTCAGTTTTCCCAGAAACATTGATTAAAAAACTATAAATTTTTCAAGGTCATTGTTCATCCTACCGTTCCCACTTTTCTCGTGTTTTCAACCTTCGGCGAAATTTTGGAGTCACATTCTCGGTTGTGATTTTCGACTTGTTGACCATCGTTGTCATTTGTCGAAATAGTTTGCCGCTCGACACACATATTTCTGCACCTTGCAAAAGCATCATGTGCGTTTTCTTTCAGGGGGACATTTTGAGGGCTTTTCGTTGAAAAGCGCTTCCATTTTCTCCATCAGATTCAAGCCACTACTTGCCCTTGAGCAGATTTTATCTGCCTGCCACCCCCCACCTCCAGTTTTTACCCTCTGACTCAGCAAACTCAGTCCTCCCGACTTTTTTTCGCCCAGCGTAGAGTTTGAAGTCCTCTCAAAGTGCTCATGCCGCCTCAGGTGCCTAGTCGGATAATTTATTTAGTTGCAACACAAATGCTTCTTTGTGTGTTTTTATATGACAAGGCTACTCGTTGAATGACTAACTGTCAGGTATTCCAGATAGTTTTTTCAGATGCCATTTAATTTTTTATTGGTAGAAGAGCACTTGGTCACCATCGTATACATACTTGTGCCTTCATTTTCATTTTACATGCATCTGAGTAATTTGTCCTTACTTAATGGCCTTACGTTCACATTAGTATGCCAATTGCCGCTGCAAGAGCTGAAAGCACTCTGATCAAAACTTTCTAGAGTACACAAACTTTTCAGAGAAATTAATTTCAAAAGTATTACCAAGGACTCCTAAATGCGTATTGGCAGTTCAAACGGCAGTCTATCGGAAGCCGGGATAACACAGAGTGAACACTACCCATTAGACTTGTGAACAAGACGTCAGCTGTAAATGGCAGAATGAAGTCAGCCTGTCCGACACGATCCCCCATCTCAACTGCATTGATTCTGTCCAGACTTATAAGAATTCAGGCCAGCCGATGGTTTTTTGCACTTTAAAGTACTTTTCATCAGAATATATGTCAAGCATACAGAGTTAAATGTTTTCATCCACTGGCATCTATTCCTAAAGTTAAATTCCTGCATCCCCAAACTGCATAGGACACAGTGTTGCGCTACCTTCGGGAAACTGTAGAAATGTTGTAATTGCATGAATAAGCAAGGGTTTCCTCTGACCAGCAGTACAAAGATGGTCAGTTCCAAATACTAACTGAACAGTCGTTTCGTCTGTACACCATGAACTCTGACGTCACTTTTCTTCCAAAGACATGTCATTGCAAAGATAGATGATTCTTAGGTTTAACATTGTTATTTTACAACTGAGGACATCTGTGTAGTGCCTTTGGAGGAGCTGTTTCACGAATCAGGGAACTGCCAGCACAAATAACCCCCACACAATAGTCTTATTTTGCTGTTTAACCAAAAACTATTTTTGCTGAATATCAGGTAGATTTTCGTCCAGTAGAAATGTATACTAATGCAATTGCTTAACGAAGACGTAGTCTGAACTTTCTACTAACTCATAAGGAGACTGTTGAGAACGCTATCAAAATCTCCTCTAGTTTTTGTACAGTTGCCCTGGGTTTTCGAATGTCTGAAATGAGATTGTACATTGCGTATCAATCCCCATATCTGTCGTTCTATTAGGGTCCCGAAGAATAGCGTCTGTCATTGGTGAATAACCTAATAACTCACTGTTCTAACCTACCTGCGAGTAACGTAACCTCATTATTCACGCATAAGGTTCGGAATTAAGGATTTTTGTCGGGTAATAATTATTGTCGTCGAGAATCTGTTTTCAGGCATATTCCTGCAGTCTAGTTCAGGCGAGCAGTCAGACGAGTGTACTTTTGAACGCCCAGATGTCTGTTTTTCGGGCCATATCCAGATTTTCGCAAATTTAAAATGTTGAATCCAAATTTTATCTCTGCTCCTATAGTTAGCCGACTTCGACTTTTGTTTTTCCTTCGACCACAGAATTCAAAAATTGGTAAACTGTTCTAATATTTCACAGAACACGTGTTTATTTAAAATTATATTTGTCGATTATTGGAAAGGAGCCAAATCTAAGCCTCAAGACGACATATATTGCCTGAATCATCGCAGGGTATGAAAATTAGAATTGCTGTTCGGGACAGCGGTCGTGTATAAATTAAATATTGTGTATTAAATGCTTAATTTATTTTCATGGGACATTTGGCTGTCATGGAGATATTCTTCACACATGGCCACATCTTACAATGGGAGCAAACCGCTTTGTATTATCACGTCTTTGCCTGATTTTATGCGCAAACCGAAATGTGTTGGCATCATAAAGACGACGCTAGTTTTGTGGTGGCTAAATCCACATATCCTGGCATATTAGACTTAGGGCCGGAGAGCCTGATTATTTTGCGTTCACTCACTCGCGCTCACATTTCTTTGCTTCTTCTCGTTTTCTTGCATCACAGCCAATAAAATCACATTGTCTGCAAACTTCCTATGCAAACGTAAACTATAACCTACACTCGGCCGTCACAACATGGCATTATACTTGATGCAATGTCGTTAAATACCCTCTCTCAACTTTGATAATGTGTGTATAGATTTGTAAATTCAAACTCACCCTGATAACGTGTGCTGACAACAGTGCTTGTTGTGACTGGGGCCGGCGAGAGCCTTGCGAACTGTTTGTTATTCGGCCTATCAGAACGCGGCGGACAATCCCGCCTCCTGATTGGCTGTGCGGTAGGTGCCAAAAACTAAGTAGTCTAACCAAGGGTCCAGCGTGCATACGTGCCCCGTGCTCCATCTTTTCCGAAATAGGTGTCAAGCTACATTAAGACTGGCACCCAGCTGCTGGCAGGGAGAACCCAAAATACGAGAAGACAAAGGATTACTTTATTTCTCTCGCCCGAGACTTCTTGAACAATAGGATTTGCAGGAACTATGGGCGGGAAAAAACGTGACCATCTTCTTCTTCGACTGGTCTTGCTCGTGTGTTTCGAGTGGACTCAGGCAGTCAAGGTGGACAACCAACCGGCGTTTTCGACTGGTAATTCGTTAGCTGTCAAAATCCACATTTGTCTGACTCTTTATTGTGTATTTTCAGCTGTTTCGCTTGTCGTTTTTGATCCTTGGCCTTCTTTTTTAATAGAACGCCTTATCAGAAAAGTCGATTGTACGAGCGATCATGTAGTATCGCTGACAAGTTGATCGAAGACACACAGTCATTAATATGTAAAAATCTGACTTCGTGTGCATGCTGCTGTTTAAATTGGAGCATTCTGCGGTCGATAACGCTGATGTACGGTCAGATTATGGAAACGTGGACAGTTTCTATGACTTACACCGAAGGAATTTTCACGATGCTTTTTCCACTGCGTGGAGCATCCCAACTGCTTCAAAAGCATTACAATAAGAAAATATGAACGTCAACAGCTGTTTATGCCACCTCCTCACTAAACTGTTTTCGACTGTGATTTGAAGCCTAAAAATCGTAGTCTTTCTTACTGTTCCTAGATCTCTAAATACTCAAGTACAAATAACCACCAGCTATCAACGGCACCTGTTGAATCGCTTAAACTGAAGTGTTCACAGATCTTCATGTTGGTCTAGAGTAGGTATTGGGCACCCAATGTCCACTAAACGTCTTCTTCGTTCATCATTTGGGAAGACATGGGTGATTTTCGAACGCTCGCCTGCGTATTCGGGTGGCAAATGCGTCCAATAGGAGACAGTTTACTCCACGCCACATGCCTCGCTACGCCTCCCTGACGAAGTGAAGTTGGACCGCTTGAAATGCACCCCCTCCCCACTAATTGCCATAAATCACCCACCTTCCCTTACCCGTGCTATGCAGCCGATCTGAGTCCCCCTGTGCATCCCAGGGTGTAGGGGCCCTGCCAGTCAAACGTGCGTCAGAGTTAGGCCCTGTCGACAACCACACCCCTAGCGAGCTGCTCGGCCCCGGTGACCACTGCTACCGAATAGGGGCAAATTATGATTGTGTTTTTAGTCGTTTTAGAACTACCACCCGGAGATAATACCCGTTCCTTTGTTTGCGTATGCAGACGTGCACGCATTCAGTCAGGTGTTTCAGGGGTTCCCTGACAAACGGGTGTGTACACAACTTGCCGCCTAATACTTTGCATCAGGCGGTCGACTCATGGGGCTGCGGAAATGCCGTCACGTTGCGCATATTTTTTGTGATGGATAAACCGGGCAAGGTGGTGGACTTTCTCCACGTGACTGCTGTTTTGTCTGAAAAGCGTGGCTACCAGCACGCCCGGTGTAGGTAGGGAGCGAGAAACACCGAGCGACAAAATGCCTTTAGGCCACCAACATGGAGATCCCGCAGTCTGTAAGCTAGTCAGACAAATCTCATAATTCTCCCGCCACATTCGATGGTATTCCACTTTCATAGACAGGGTCTTAAAGTGTCGCAGGAGTATCAGGAATTTTGGTAACAAACCCGCTTCTCGCTTCTGCATATATCTCATCAGCACAACCCTAATTTTCGAATCGATGATGTAGCGCCCGAATTCAAGCATGCATATTCAACTCCATTTTTCAGTTTATCTTGCCTAATGCGAGCGAATCGCGATACCAAGCTATTCAAAGTGCAATCGGGCAGTGCAGTACAGTTCTAAAGATTGCGACTACGCCAGACAATGAAAACTCATTTCCGCTCCGTATGATCACAAGGTACCACGGAGTGCAAAATGTATTTCCTTTTTCAATGGACTAGTTCTAATATAAACACTTCAAACATCATGGCCTCAAAAATGAAGCTTCTAACGATCACTGTGAAAAAGCGTTGTAGTTTGTCCTATGTAGTCCATTTAGACCACAATGCATACCAACACTTAGACAGCAATTCCCTCAACCACTGCTCCGACCAGTCCTTATTTGCATCAGTCCCGTTTCTCTTCTGCAAAAGTGGCTGGTAGTAAGGCGGAGTAACTTAATTCATTGCCAAAAGGATGACAACACAACTGTTTTAGTCAGATGGATAGGAAAGGCTTATTTAATTTTTCAAAGCCATCTGGGTTGCATATTTCAGCCACGTATATTCATGCCGACTGTCGTAATCAGAATTCTAATTTCCTTATTCTTGTCAACCCACAGAATATGTGACTTGTCACCACTGTCTTAAGGGCTTTGGAAAGTTCTCTCAGATAGGATTCCTTTTTTATGAGAGCCTGCTATGCGGATAAGATTCAAATTATGTCCAGAAGACGTATACTAGTTTATTAATTGGTATTCCGGAAAGCAACAACCCTGATGGCGATTCGTGGCTTTTTATTGGTGTTTTAACTTAACAATCAGGGACATAATTGTTCCCAGCCACATACGGAATCCTCCGAACAGGCTCTATGGTGAACGATGTTTTCTATTTGAGAGGTTAGCATTCTAGTTTCCCTCTTTTTTTCGAAAAGAATAATTCGGTTTTGGACTTGAGTGGGTTCTGGTAGCTCCGTCCAGATAGCACCTTCCAAGTCTAAAAGATGGTTGAAGCAATTGCTTTGTGGTCTACAAAAACACCAGTTATGACATATAGACTACTCCAAACTATGATTGGAGATTGGTGAATTTCTCAGTTTTATGGCCTATCATGACGTAATGTGCCGCATGCAATTGTAGCGAGAAGCAGATGAAACATAGTGTTGTCATATGACGACTTTCACGAATCTTTGCTTTACTATGCCAGTATACGACCAATAATGGTCGAGATTTCTTGTTTAATTGCCTCATATGATTGCTGGCTATTATATGTGAACTAAGAATACTGGATGTCTTTCCCTTGAAATTTCCGCCATTTAGTCGGCTAATGGGATGCATTTTCATTTCGATGATTTTATTCGTCTTTAAATTACAACTACGACGACACTTTTAACGGCAGGTTCGGGTCTGTCTTGGAATTCAAAAACGATAAGCTCAGAATATTTGGTCGAATTATTGAATGGCCGCTTACTTCATGACAACCAGAAGATACTTCTTATTCAACGCCTATGCAGGCATCAAGAGGGATACATGTTTAGGTTTCTAACGGGTCACTGTTTGATAGAGGAGACTTATCCGAACATGACTGAAAGCTAGAAAAAGGTGGCTTAACATTTAGCTCACAGCAGTGCTTGTAGATTTTTCCGTCCATTGAGGTGCTGGATAGATTTTGTGCACTTTTTCTCAAAAAGGCGCATTCCAGGCACTTCGCGGCTTATTTCACAGAATAATGTAAATCAACAATCAATTTGACGTCATTTCTTGAGTGGCTGAATTAGAAGACACTCCAGCTGATGCAAGAGGTTAGATTGATTCAAACGTCCTGTTTAAATGCATTTATATCATGCCTTCTTGAAAAGTTATTCGTCACCCTCTGATCAACCTACGATCGCTGATAGGGCGACCATCTGTGCGAGTCGTTGAATATTCAAGGACGCTTGGGGTTGTCCTGCGCTTATTTTTGATCTAATGAAAGATTGTTCAGCTTGCTAGGTTTAACGTTATACTAGTGTTTAACCATGGTAGAAGGGCGTTCACCGATCGTTTCTACGGAACTTGATCGTCCCGTTGTGCCTTAGAGCTCCCTCTCGAGTCTAACGAGCAGCCGCACAGCGGCGCATGATATAGGCAGAATGATATTACCGACAAAGACAAGGGAGACTGGAATGGCCATTTCTGGCTTATTAGCCGTCGTCAGCCAGTCATACCCAACCCCGAAGTGTGGCACACCCGAGGCTTGAACTCGCGACCTGTTGGTTTATAAGTCCACGCCTCTAACCACTGAGTCACGAGCCCGTTGTCCTGGTGGTTGCGATTGGGAATATTCAATGTTAGATCGGCTAGCGATCGGTGAACGCCCCTCTACCACTGTATATTCCTGATCGCAAACGACAGGACAACGGCCCCTGGCCCAGTGGTTAGAGGCTTTGAACTTCTAACTAACAGGTAGCGAGTTCGAGCCTCGACTGTTCCACACTTTGGGGCTGGGTATGACTGGCTGGCCACGGCTAATAAGCAAGAACTGGCCATTCCAGTCTCCCTTGTCTTTGTCTGTAAGACAATTCTTTTTAAACATGCTTATGCAGAAACAGAGCTTTTGCTCTTTCGCGTCCTAGGAGTTCGTTGAGGCCCAGATGGATCTATAGTTCAATATTCCAGTCGTACTGAAGGACTCATTCCTAAAACTTACTCGTAGAGTTGGTGGACAATACACTACTAAGAATAAATTGAAAAACATATACCGCCTCGACAATAGTTTCTGTCAGCTTCAACCTAAAACCACTGGGTCACCCTTCACGGTGAGAAGTTCGCTCCCCAATAACCAAATGTACTTGCTATTATGGCTTCTTAATGTGATTTCCGGGAGATCCTGGTCCTTACTATACTTACCATTTATTTTAAAACCAGTGTTTTGTTTTATACGAACGGGAGAATTTGGAAGTATCAGAATTTAGGTGAACCTCTGTGACACAGTAGACGTAGCAACCCGTAAAACAGGCTGTAGCTTGCGTGGTATTATCATTTAAGTAAAAAGGTTGTCCTTTCGTAGAAAATTGTTAGCAGCGATGACACATGAAACTGCACTTGCCACGAAGAGGGGGAACTAAAGGCCCGATTATTTTCCATGTGTTCTCTACAGCGAATTCGGCAACAGTAGCGAACGCCTTCAAAGACAGCAATCGTTGATCTTCAGTGTTTGCTTAGCCTGATGCGCATAGTCTCTTCTGCAGCGAATTTCACACACCAGGGAGGTTGATGGGGGCTCTTAGGACACTCTGAATTTCCGCCAACCCCCCCCCCCCCGCCCCACTTCCACACACTCATTCTGACGACAGCAGTAAATCACCGACAAATTACGGCTGCAGGCTTTCTGTCCAACCAAGCGCTATCTGTCCTCCTTCTCACGACCGGGCCTGCGTGTGAAATTTCACTAAAACACAGGCGAAGCAAACTGAAACATATAAAGCGCATGAAGATGCGGGTGCCACTGGAAATACCTCAGTCGCTCTCCAGTCGGAAGAACACTTAAGCATGCTCTTGGTGCAAGCATGAGCATTGACGATGTCGTGCGAGACAGGTTAAAGACCTGAAAAGCAGAAGCATTTCCATCTAGAAGGCCTGGGTAACTTTGAGCACTTGCGCCTGCTGAAGCTATCATCTGTGTTGATGACCTACCATTTTTCACGTGCTATAGGTGACCAGAGAGGCCTACTTTGAACACTTTCGCCGGCACATATGTGCGTGTAGTTTAGGCTCATGTCGCGTGGGAAATACGAATACCAATTTCAATTCTTTGAAGTTGATCCGTTAAATAATTCACTTCTTTCACGAGAATATTGCAAATGCACTCACCGTCATCCTAAAAGAGTTTTTTGTGTATGTAGCTTGCGCAGGGTATGGAGCTAGGGTTAGGTCTAGGAGCGATTTCGGGTATAAAGTTCGGGGTTAAGTGTGCGTTTAGCCATACCGTTGCCATTAGCATTACGCAATTATCGCAGCAGAATGTCCACTCCTTGCTGCAGGCGCGTGCCAGTTGGTGCAACTTCCTGGCATAAACGTTTAGGTGCAAGAATCGCAACTGTCTGTACTTACTTCGTCTGAGGACGGGTCGATGCATCAGGCATGCAAATCCATGAGTAAACCCTGATTTTCCTAAGAGGATTCTGTTTTGAATAAATTTGACATTAACACTAACGTCGGCCATACCATCTGGCTGTGCTTTTACAGTTAGGCCTTAGCAATTTTGTTTATACGAAAGCATGCAAACCCTACTGGGGGATTGCTCTGGAAGCGATAAAAAGAGTTTCCGGTGGGATTTAGAGGGCTGAACTCTTATCGGACATTTCGTGAAAAACCTTATGAGTTTTTGGAGCAACTTCTCTTCACCGTGCGAATGTCAAACCTTCACTTTTGTGTCAGTCTTCCTTAACAGTCTACTAGTTTTGTCCTAAATAAAAACAACTTCTTTGCTTTCGGCCGTTTTTCTTACCTATAATATTTCTTCACATGGAGAATATATGGCCAGGAATTCCTCAAAAAGTGCGAGAACTTTTTGCAAGGCCAAAGTTTTCTTCCAGGTGTACGTTGATGCGATTGATTTATGCAGGGCCTATCAAAATGTAGTCTGCGAATTTTTCACACCATTCGGTGAGTTCACTTCCTACAGCTAACTTCGGCAACTTATCGTTCGTATTAAATTGTAGTCTTTCTGATGTTCTTGATTAATCATGCTATATATTTGTGCTCAGAACTGAAATAGTTCGCTCCCATTATTCATTAAATCGATGCAATTCACTGATGTCATTTAGAGTTTCAATGATAATTATGCAAAAGGTACTCGTGCTAGTTGCCTGAAAATGCTTTCGGTATAAAACATGCTTATCTAGGTTGCTAATTACAGAAGACTTCTGGTTGCATACTGCTGCAATTTGGCATCAGGGTAACTAAAATTTTGAGTTGATGGATATTTGGACATTTTTGATATTTCAGGCTTTTTGGTAGCTTGAGCATCCTACGGATATTAGTTCTGTGTATGCTAATCCGTTCAGGTTTTTATTTCTTTCCACCTTGGATGTGGATGCGTATACTTTCCGTTTACGTTGATAGTACCCCTCATGTAGGTTTTGTCCGACTGCGATCATGTTCACGGTTTTTGTTAAAAGGGGACCCGTAGACAGAAAGTTAACCGACAGTAATTACTCCGGATGGTTTTACGCCCTGAGGCCCTAATCTGCATGTTTTGCGAAAAAATATCCACCCGTGTCAGAAATGCGTCTAGGTACAGATATCATTTTCCCGGTCGATTCCTCACTCGCGTAAAAGACTCAAAAGAACCTGTTACTTGGCGCTTATGACCGTTCAGATGGCTTTGGCATTTCGTGGGGATGATAAGAAGAAAGCATCAGCTTGTCATTTGTTTATCCTAACCCTCAAAAAGACTATAGCATAGTTGTCAGATCGCAACGGCTGTCCAGCGGTACGCATGCAGTTGGCCCAACTTAGTGTACTAAAGGCATTTTGCATCGTCAAAAAGACAGGTCCTTTTTTACCATGGCAGAGTTTGAGTTGAAATGAATAATTCACATTTTCAAATCTTTTTTTTCTAGTTCCGTGTTCCTTGGCGTTAATATAGACGTCTGATTTTATGAATACATGCCCGGATAGTTAGTGTGCTGAAATATTTTTTAACTGATATAACTATTTAACGTTCAGAGGTTATAATTGTCCAGTTTGCTCATTTAGGTTACTTCACTTTGGCCAGAAAACTAAAGTTACTCAGGTATGTACTAGAGATTGATGCATTCGTAGGAATTTATAGCTGTCAGGATTATGCAGCGAAGCTGGCCCATAAAGACGTAATTAAGACTTAGAGTACATCTGCTATCAACGGTGGTTAACGCTTTTCAGTAAGTTAAGCAAAACGTCATCCATCTGGACCAATTGAAGGCGGAACTGCTGGTGTCAGAATTTACAGCGTCTTGTGGGCTTTTACATCGCGTCTCCGTACGTCTACAAATTCGGACGTATGCGTTTAAAAGATCAATCTTTAGAGCCTTGGGAGGCCAACTTCTAGCATCATGTTGACAGGCTATATGGCCGCAGCCGTGAGTCAATTTTTACTTCACATTTTGACAGCAGGCGCATGTAAGGAGAGGATTTTATTGCTCCTTTCAGTGGCCTATTTGCTGCTTGGTAGCCAAAAAAAATTCAGGCGCTGAAACTTTCCCATTCAGTAGAGCCTCAATCATGCCGTTTTGTGCTATCTTCTTGTACCCACTGGTTTGACTTGAAGTGCGAAAACCGGGGTTCGATTACTTGCCAGATTATGTGATACTTGTGGGTTACAGGATAGGAGGCCTGAATTTTATACGATCGCGCATCTCAAAAATCATAAAGTGCATGCTGCTGAAGAGTAAATCAACAATTAAACTATTCGGGCATCCCTTCAAAGGTAATGTATGCATTGTCTAGATGAGCTTGAAAAACCGATCAGTATGGATAATTGCTGCAAATGTATGCCCAAAAGTCTAGTATGCTCCACCTCGACTTTTCGTCTTATTTGCCTTCTTGCCAATTCACCTTTGAAAGTGGGCACGACTCAAGTATTAGGAAAAATGTGTAGTGGTTTATAGGGACTCAGGGATCGCAATCGTGTTTTGAGAGTGCCCAGGAATGTTTGAACAAATTTTAATATGGAAGTAGCGACTTTTAAACGTCCTACTGAAAGAATGGATATATTCTCGGATTCGGTAAAGTTCCTAATGGTACATTTTTTTGAGACGCCGGCGATATGTGTCACGCATACATAGTTCGCATAGTTAGTTATAACGACTTTTAATCAACAGCTCGCACACCGCCGCGAGTAGTGTCGGGAATTGCCCTCGATGTTTGTTAGTTTTGCAACTCCATAATGGTCAATTTCCGTGTCATCATTCAAATACCCCTCAGAACACCTATTTGTTACACAGGCATCCAAGATACACTTTTAGTTTGGTCACTTTGTTATAGGTGTATGGTGGAGTTATGTTAATACACACAAACTACAAGATATCGTAGATGTCTCCAAACGGATTATATTCTCCGTATCAGCATCTGCATTCCAACCATTAACAGAATACCGTAAAATGAAGCATTGAACTTTACTCGAGTTTCTTGGTGTTTGCCCTTTAAAGTCATATTTTGCCTAAACCTAATGCTTCCAATTGTTATTTTCCACAAATCGCAATATACGCTTGCTGCTTTCAAAGCTAGCCTGAGTACTTCGTTTATTTGTATAAGCGCTGCACTGTGCACGCATTTCTATGAGAAACACGCGGGCCGTGATCACATAGATTTCATTTTTTTGTAATTTCATTCGGAGGTGTTGGTCGTTTTGGCAGTCGGTTACGGTGTAGGCTTCAGCTGAGTATTCACAGAATGATAATACGAAATAACTCTGGTCTTCCCGGTTTTGCTTCACAAATCCGGCATAAAGCGGAAAATGAAAACTTACTCGTCGGAATTTGTATCATCTAGCTCTAAATGGGTCAATGGGGAACGCCCGCATAAGGGATTCTGACCCAAGTTTTAGGTGCCTCAAAAGTAATGTGTGATCTCAGGAAAAATTATTCGAAACGTCTTCTAAGGTTCGGTACGCAACCTGCTATTAGTATTTCGGCTGAAGTCTCTCAGCATCAGTCGAACACCGGCGCAGTATTCGCATTCGGTCTACAGTTTGTAGGTAGTACATAGAAATGACGCATTTTCCGCAAACGCCGGATGGTTACCGTAGAGCCGGTGTTTCCCTTGCTGAGTCTGAATGCATACTGTGACTCCACACAGCATCAGTGTTTGTCAGTTTTTGTCATGTTGGTTATATGGTGCCCAGCAGAACTTGCCTCAGTCTTTTCTCGGGCATTATTTTCCTCCATTATCAACCCCATTGTGAGTGAATGAATTCACCGTTGTTCTCACAGCTTAGGTCACCGCCATCACCTAGGCACATAGGTTCTTTGAAGGTTACATAAACGTGACAAAAAAATTTTGAGAAACCCAACACAATTCATGCCGATCCAACTGTTAAAAACTCGGCGCCTCGGCGTGATTCGAACTCACGCAGTAAGTGGAAGGCATTAGTGCAGCTAACGCTCTAACCGCTTGAGCTACGAGGCCCCGCCGGAAGATGCGAGTTTAATCACATTTGGGTCAAGTTCGTCCGGCGAGGACTCGTAGCTCAAGTGGTTAGAGCGTTGGCTGTACTAAAGCCTTCCTCTTACTGCGTGGGTTCGAGTTTTTCACAGTTGGGCCAATATGAAGTATTCAAAATTGGTTATAACATCTACGAAGAAACCCAGCATAATTCATTAGGAATTTTGGGGCAGTCCCGCAGTACTACTATCAGCAGCGTTTGAGTGTCCAATAATTTTTCTCGATATAGTCGCATGTCACGGGGGCGCGCCTATGCAAGAATTCTTTCTACAAGAGGCGCAAGAAAATTCTGTTACTATCCGCTCTATTGCCAACCTGTGAAAAGGAAAAATTGCAGGTTTTTTCAATCATCCTGGAATTTTCGCATGAACGACCGACCGTCAGTTCCGCAAAGGGCAATTTCTTACTTTTACCTGTCTAACGCCTAGACTAAGTAAATGTCATGTAGTACCCAATCTCCCAATGATCTTATGTAAACGACTCCTACGCTAACAGTTTTAATGGGGAGCCTTTCCTGTTCTAACTCTCCACTGATCGATGGTCAGAAGATGCTTATTCGGTCAAAAGCCTATGGACTCCTCCTTGGATTCCAGTTCTGGCACAACTTTTCATTTAACGAATTTTTCACCAATGACCTCTCTGAGTCAGTGGAATGTGCTCTGAGACAAAGATTAACAGAAAATTTCATTTTAAGGAAAAAGGTGACGACTGGATTTACGATCTCGCATACAGTCAGGCAACCTCAAGTGCCATGTTAGTCGTCCAGTGGAAGTTCACATATATAAGCGCGCCATCAGCGTTCAGGTTAATACGCCAGTTTGAACAGAGCACCGCCGATAAGGGAGGTTAAGCGGCAGACAGATTTGTGATAACCGAAGAAGAAAAAAATAAGCCGCCTGTTGAAAATAAGCGGATAGCCACACGCAAGCGGACCAGGAAATGGCTGAGTCGCAGACAATGGCGGAACACTGCGGCAGGTGGGCACCGTGAATACTAAGGCGACTAGGCGCCGAAAAAGAGCGTGTCGGCGCGTTTTCACAGGCGGGAATGGAACCCAGCCACCCCCTGTCGCGTATGCGCATTCCTTCTGTAATTGGTCAACTTTCAAAGCCCAACCATAACTTGCCTTACGAGGTGGGAGCCACGCCCTGATCGCCAGGAGCACTCCAATTGGTCAACTTTAAAACTGCCTACCGCTGATTATGCTTATGAGTCAGGTAAACCCGGGGGCCACACCGTGCGCAATGATGATTGTTGTCGTCTTTCTACCCACGCGCTGCGCATACCCACACGAAGAAGTTTAGTTGGGAAATGCGCATTGTTAGCGTCCCCGTGGAATAAACTGACGCAGCAGGAGCCTTTACCTTGCACCTGTCGCAGGCTTTAATCTTTGGCCAAACGGCATGGTACCCCGGCACCAATTGAATTTTATCTTTGAACATTTAATGCTCGTTTTTGAAGGTTGGTTAAATTTAATCAACCTGTCTGCTTGTAGTCTGCAAATTACAGAACTCGGCGACAGTAAATAGCAACGTACCCAAGTGGTGTAGGGTTTCGAGAGAATTCTCCCTCTTGGTGTTAAGCTCTGTGCTGTTCCTCACAGCTCCTTTGGCTTTTGTCGATTTACTTAGTATATTCAGGGATTCGTGTGATGCGGCTTGAACTCGGGGAATCAGGTGTGCGTTTCATCAATTAGAATTCGCTGTGCACTAAATTACCCCGGAACGAAGGCAGCATCGAACCCTAGTTGTTTTTGCGGAGTGCAGGAAGACTACCTTCATTCGTAGAGATGAAAACTCGGTGGTCGTGCCCATCCGTTGAAAAGAGGGAACGTAACAGTTTTACTTCCCTGGGTTTGCACTTTCCCTGTATTCCTCATATGTCATCGCGCTCCATCAAGAACAAAATAATCGGAACTGTTTGAAAGACGTTACGAGTTAGCCAGCTAACAACGTCAACTAATATGAGCATAACCATTTCGGTCTTCCGAATTCTAGTCCCCTGTGTAACCAGTTCAGTGCAGTCGAGTGTGAGTGTTCCCGACATCGCGTGCAAGTTTCAACAGAAGCACCCATACTTATTACTACAATCTGAGTAACATCTCGGACATCTTTATAAAAATATTCGTGACAAGATCTAACAGAATGTGAGCTGAGAAGATGGAGGCGTGGTTGGGTGTATAAAGGCCTATATTCGTCTTTCGACTTGAATTCACACTCGCACCTGTATTCAGGTAATGACAACGGAGGCGTTAGATGATGGGGTGACGTATTCATTGCAACGACACGAAACCTCTGAGGTCATTCGTCGAATCTGATGGACTTTTCCACAGAGGAATTAAAAGGGAAAACACGGATGATTAAACAAGGCTCGGATAACCGAAAATGTATCTGCAGTGAAGGAGGAAATTATACCAGATTCCAAACCTTAACTCTAACCACGAGAGCAGGACGCGGTTTTCAGCCCAAAGTGACCGCCAGTTTCATGAGACCTGACGCTCGCCTGAGTCGCTGTTTTCTTAAGTTATGGCTCTCCAAACCCCCAGTCCATCCACAATCACAATGACGGCCCCACATATACTGTTCTGAGACATTCCCAGGAATGAGCGGGTTCTGACAGACGCTGTTTACGGCGCCCGTATAGGGGAAAGAAATTGCCGAGGAATTATCACATCAAAAAACAACACGAGCGAAATGTTGGCTCTGATGATTGGCTCAAATTAGAATTAAAAATATCAGGCAAATAAAATTTTTTCTTCCGTCACCCCTCCTCTTTTATCTGCTACCTGAAACTACCATTCTTGTTTTTGCCGAAAAATTACGAGCTTTTGTCCCAATCAGTGGAAGTTCCGGCCGAATGACTAACTGTTTCCTCATTAAAGCCTCTGAACTCTCTGGATGTGGTTTTAGTATGACTGGCAAAAGACAATAATCGGGCGAGAGGTGAACATCCAGTAGTCCTTGGCCATCTCAGCCGGTTGCATTTGCCACAGTTTTCTGCAAGAGCTTTCCGCACAGGGCACTAATTTTCGCATGAGAGTGACATCAAAAGGGACTGAGAATGCTGCATTTGGGTAAGCCGGACAGTAATTAGCCGGTTATTCCCCAGCTTCAACCCGAGTCCATTTATTCGTGAGATTGCAGACAAATGTTCGGTCGTATGCGTCGAGAGTCTATACATTGTAATCCGCCGTCAGGAATATTCACTCTCACACAATGGCTGTTCATGAAACATCATGTATCTGCATTTACGAATGTGGCTTGTAAAGTTAACAATATTGCCCAAATCCACTGCTTAATTTTATGAACCTCATATGGTCTCCTCTTAACACCGTAGAGAAATGCATGGTTTTCCGTACACGGAAAATACGCAGCTTGTAGTTCTGAAACCCTGAATGCAAGTGTAACAGCAGCTCGGGTTCAAAATCATTCGGGAATTAGAAAAGTTTTTTAAAACCGAATTATACTCTTCTTTTGAGTATGAAATTGGAAGAAGACGTGATTTTCTACCGAATAAGTAAAAGAATGAATATTTTTATGCATGTTTTCCATGAAATATAATTGAATTTTCAAGGGCGTCGAAAATAAACGAGAAAATTGCATGCTACTTAAGTAGTCATTTTTGCATAGTATCGATCTTGCATGCAGCCAAAAATAAGTTCTTTCCAATGCCGACACCCTGAGGCAACTGAATCATTATAGATTTATGTTGCATCATGATTAGTTTTACAACACCACTTAATTTATCTTTTCGAAACGAGAACGCATTTCGAAATTTTGGTTGACATTTCATGAGTTAGCACATCTACTGTATGGCCTTCGCTGACATATATACTTTGGAGGACTAACTAGGCATGAGTCTATTTGACTCTGAGTGTAGTCCACAGTTCTCGTAGGTTTTCCATCAGAACATGCATACACGCCTTGGGATGGTTTACGGAAACACTGGACAATGGAATATTGACTGCCTTGTGACGTCACAACCGCGGCGCTGTTTACGTTTGTTCCCGTTTCTCGTGCACTGTGTATACAGCCCCTGCTTTGTAGTATGAAGTTTCGTAGGAGAGTGGAAACTTTGTCGGTTGTAGGATTGAAAGCACACACACACACTGTCAAACCTTGTAGCATTCAGGTATGTTATGGTTCATTAAAGTGTCATTTGTCACATGGCATTCCCTTCTGGTTCTTGTGATTGGAAGAAAAACTCGTTTGGTTGCGATACTATTGAAAATAAAATGTTTTGATTGATGGCATTCGTCATGACATGGGCGGCGCCTCCTGATTTTTGCGAAGCATTTTCCATAATGCGGCAGATGGCATGATGCGTCTTGAGGCCTTTCCTAGATTTTATCGATAATTTTCTATCGTACGTTAATTAAGCGGCTGATAATTTTTCAAGAAAAATTTCACTGCAGTGTGCACTCCGAAATTACTTAAACTCCCGGATTAAATATTACTCTATCGATTTAGGACGTTTTCAGTCCGCTTCGCAGATGCGTATCTCAGAATTTTTCATTTTTCCGAACTGCGGTTGCTACAAATAGAAAAGCCGATATCTCCTTACTTCCGATGCCCTCTACCATCAGTCCTGCTTTGTTTACCGACTCAATGAGACTCACAGATATAGCGTCTTTTATAGTGTTTGTACCCACTTACTTCTGAACATCAAAAAGTCGATTTCCATAACCCTTTGTCAAACAATAGTGCTGGCTTCAAATATTCGGACTACTGGACCCACTTATTAATTGGAATTACTGGAGGATTTACGGGCAAAAGGAACTGTTTATCACCCATTTCTCGTCTATAATCCAGCTCTCGAATAACCAGACAAAGTTTGGCGTGAAGCTCCTAACCAAAAGGTTTTCACTAACAATTGACTTCACTTGAAGCTTTTTTACCCTTCTGGATAAAACAAGCGGGCGAGAGATAGCAATGGTCAAGCAAAGACAAAGGATTTAAAAGCGGGCTTGATTTTGCCTTTTAAACGCGACATTCACCCTGAACCTCTTGCCGACAGCCGTCTACGCCAAGACAGCCTTGTTATCCAGCCCTGTTAATTTGGCTTGTCACGAAGGTCCTCCTTTGTCCCGCACTAAAGACCAGAATAGACACACACACACACAGAACGTCCTTGCATCCCGCTGGTAGAAGAGGGACCCAAACGTATTCCCCAACCCGCCTCACTCCAACCAACTTTTCCCGCCCTCCCACGTAGATGTGGAAGTAGAGGGGCAGGGCTGAGAGCGCAGCTAACAGTCGATAGGAACAAAGTAGCAACAGTGGCAGTACCCGCAGTCTGTTGTAGACGCAGTTATTCCAAGGTAATGCCTCAAGAAACACTCGGTTGCCCTGTTTCCTGAATGTGGAGACTGAATCCTTATCGGGTCATGTAGGCGGTCCCTGGACTTCCCTTTTTGTATCCGAATATACCGTAGATCGTTCTCGCAACCAAGGCAACGCCTGTCCGTTCGGTCCAGAGAGCCCCTACAGCCCGGGTGGCGCAGGCAACTACCTGCGGTCGATTTTTTTAAAGGGGCTAAACGTGGTATTTTTTTTAAAGTATGGTTTGGCCAGTTAGAGGAGTGCAGAAATACAGTGAACGGATATATCTGAGGGAAGAGTGATTTCATGGAATAGAACTCAGAGATTTAGCAATAAGGACGAGATCGGTTGGAAAAACTGGAAATTGCAAACTGGAGACGCGATTGTAGGCAGAAACTTGTGCAAATCATTGCGAATGCACAAGACCACGGGGGAAGCTCATAGTGGATGAATTTGGTCAGTAACAATGATACCGACACCCCATGGTCTATGAAAATATCTACGTTTTCTGAAACCAATAGCACATGGAAATAGAAACTTCATGTACTACAGGTGGCCTTGCGTTAACGTCCTGGGAGATTGCGGCCATGATTAGTATTGTGCTTAGAGTTAAATTGAGAGCCCTGTTCAGAGCTAATTTACGGTTCAGGTCAGGGTTCCTTTTGAGGTTATAGTAAGGGTAAGGTAAGGACAAGGAAAAATTTGCTCCTCATGGAAATTGCCGTAAAGTTACCTGTAATAGGGGAAGTTTTCCTTTTCGTATCTCACACTGAAGTTTACTAACCGTGGGTTTTGAAAATGCCAACAACGACTGGTCTTGGCCAGGTGCAGTAATAACTTAAATATGATCTCCTTGAGACCATGACAGTCCAGTAAAAAGCAGTGAAGAAGTGCTAAGGGCTTCACTCTCACGCGCTTACCTATAAAAAGGCAAGTGAGTCGGTTAGGCCCTGTTACGGAAAGTGCGGGTGGGAAAGACAATGTGATTATTAAGTTCACCTTTCTGGGCATTGTTATAGTCCCCTTAGTTAGCGATGTACAACTGTTCCCCGAACGCGATTTCAAATTGGCGGTCTGATACTTGTCAAAGCAACTGTAGGCGCCCGAACTCTACTGCCTGCGGGGTCCCCGAAACTTGTGCCTCGATTCAAAATATCACACTATTTTCGTTTATTTCTATTCTATACTGTGCATCCTGTAAGACAAATATATGCACGTGTCAGTGCTCGTCTTTAGGTCGCGACAGCTTTGTCCGATCTAAACGCTGAAGTAGCATATATAGGCTAGCTCACAGAGGGGTGTACATTTTTGTTCGTCTTCCGTTTGAACTTTGGCAGTATCGAGTCTGGATCGTATGATTTTGGCGACCCAAAATGTGATCGTCAAAACAGCCGAGTTGTAACTTCTTCGTATGGCTCGAAAGCAAGTACTGACGAGAACAGTTTTCTGTATCGTAAATCTCCTACTGCCGAACTGAAGTGATTCAAAGTGCCTGCGGCGCTCAGAATCGCGGCATATGTCTGGATCACACAAAAGAAAGTACATTTCAAGTACCCGTTGCATTCCCAAGAAGCAGTAGACCGCTGCAGTGAAGTGCTGGCCACCAGAAACCTGAGCAAATTTGTTGGCTATCAAGACATCTCCGCTCGCGCTTAATCCGTCCGAGATTGGGGTGATAAACAAAAGGAAAGTGACCTTTTTACTTGAAGGTAAATTCGATATTTGTACTCTAAAAATACCCTTCCGATCGTCAAGTGTTCTATACTTATTGAAAATGTACAATGCCTTCAAAGTAAAACGCACGACGGTGCCAAAAACTCAATATATATCTGCGCGAATTTGCGCATGGCTTAAGCGAAATTTCCAATAACTATTAAGGCGAAACAGGTTTCACGATGTGTCATCAGGGTTTTCTATTCTTCAGTCTGTGTTTACTACTGTAAAGTGGCCTCGAGGTTTCGGTCTACGCGGCAGCCTACCTATAGCGACTTTCATCCTCCCAAACAAAGCAACCGGACCCTCTAGGCAAAGGGTGATTCAACATCGTGTTAGCGTTACATGCCCCCGGCAAATTTTTTGATCAATATGAGCACCGTAAGCTTACAGTACCGATGCGGGGTCTGTTCACTGGCGCTCCATGAACATAGAGATGCCGCCCGCCTGTTGAGGAAACCGCGTCGCTACGTATTCACCGCCTGTGTAGTTCGCACACAAACACTGGCGTTGCGTGCCGGTGGTCAGTCCAAAGTCCCACTAACAGCACGACGGAGAGCTTTAGTTTTTTTCAATTTGGTCGGATTTCCTCGTGGTTTGTCCCCCATTCTTTGTGGTTGACTCTTGTTGCGACAAATGTTTCACACCCCCCCCGCGGCTTCCTCTCTGGGTCTTGACTCACTCCTTTCAGAGAGAAAAGACTCCAATTTTTTAGCAAGCGCAGTTATTAATAACTCTGTAAATAACCTTCTGCTTGTGTCAAAAACAGGAACCAATGACATATGGTTGAGATTTCTACGACTATTTCTGAAGGAAGAATAGCAGGCTTGCAAAGCACAGGGAAAACTTGCTAAATGCGAGTGATAATTGTAGTACGACTGTGTCATTTGCAGGATGTCTGCGGTTCTACACTGCAGTGCTTACGTTAGATAATTCCGTGACTCAAGCCCACACAGTTGACGGTTGTGGTTTAAGTCGCAATCCTGCTCTCTCTCCCAGTAGTCTTCTAACGATCGTGGACTGGGTGTTTTTGCGACTGTCGAGTACCTTGCAGCCTCCTCGGCTGAAAACAAGTGGGGTATATTTTATCCTAATAAGCAGACAATGTGTAATGTTAGAAATTGGTGCTATGACTACATACGGATGAGGCAACTGATAAATTGCTGAACTCGGGGTGTATGTATCGAGTTTTTATTTTTTAATTGTGAGCTAGGTATAATAAAAGACAATCGAAAGTCGTATTCGCCCCAAATGTAGTTGACACTCTTTGAAAATCCGTAGACCGAAAGGCGGTTGAAACGGATCCTGCTCTTCGGAGTCTTCGCTTCCAAAACTCCCAGTGTACAACGTGGCACAGACTTCCGCCTCCATGGAAAAGGTGCACAACACGCAATTGAGACATTCGGCGTCCTGTAAGTCGATGGCCCACCTGTCTCTCGTTAACCAGACAGAGCTCCAGACAATGAGTGAGCGCGCTAGGGCCCTTCACGCACAGACATACCTTACATGAGAGATCCCACCCCCTTCGACACCCCTTTGCGCACTTTTACGCCCAGCAAAACTCGGTACTGACGTTGCCAGACCAGTAGACTGTCCTAGTTTCCTGACACTAACGGTTTGCCGTCAATCACTCGGTCAGATTATTTATTGCAGAAACAGTGCCCTGACCTGGTCGGCCGCAGCACAAAATCATACCTTCAGTGGTCTTGACCCCTCCTCAATATTTAAACTTGGTTGAGTAGATGTAGTGGGACCCTCACAGGGTAAGTCCCAGGTAAATCGTCACTTACACTCGGGTCTGCTTTTCCTGGTCAGGCACGACGTACCCCCCCCCCCCCTGTGCCGGAGACGCTCTGCCCTCACGTCGCGTTCACTTCTTGCTGTGGGCCCAGGATTGGCGTTTGTCAGGTACTTATCGCACGAATGCATGCTTCAAGTAATCTGGTCTAGTAGGCCAAGCAGTTCGCTTGAGTAGCTTTGTGGTTACACACTCCTGATTTGACAATTAACCGAAAGGCACTCCTGTCACACGCTACACTGATCGCGGTCGTGAACACAGTCCCGCTTATTTTGAAGGAACGCCTTCCGGTTCTTTGCCTGAGAGGCCGGCGTCCTCGCACACGCCAGCCAGGCACGTCACCTTAAAAAGCTGAGCTGTTAAACTAGGTGTAAAACTTAATCTGCTTACCGGTTTCCACACTAATGCGTATCTCGGAGCGTTTTTTCTGAACTACACATCCACTACAGACCAGCGCCCTTTTAGTAAGTTGATGAATCAAACAAGCACGTTCATGGCCGCCTTCGCCATCACAACCGACTACAAGTCAAGTTGCTTTTCTTCCCAGAGTCTTGAACACTGCGACCAATTCGTGTGTTATTGATAGTCACTGGGGGACTCTTTTTTATTTAAATTTTCGTAGTCGTATCAAAAGTCACTGGTTCAAATGCCTGACCCATTGGTTCCATAGTTGAATCATTTACGGAATACACAAAACGCCATAGCGTAAAATATGCATAAACGACCTTTTTGTGGAGAGTATCTGAGGAAACGTGTAGTTGTTCCTTTTAATATCGGCTAACGCAAAGCTAAGTGCTCTAATTTATGTGGTGTGGTTAATTAGGAGAGGCCAATTGCCGACGTAATGGACCTACTAACGTTGCAAAAGAATAATAAAAAGAAGAGGCACAAAATATCCCGAGCTTTGTAATTGAGAAGTTTCTTATCAGCATATACGATAAGTCATGCAGAAGCACTATGTGCAACCACCGTAGCACTTTCGGATATTTGTGGCGCTACTTTCCATGTGTTATGCTGTAGACACGATTTCGTCTGATGGTAACGTCTCTGGGGGGCTTCTATGATTCTGGTTCCCCTCTCCTCGAGACCTGGAAGAGTTACACGTGATAAAGCAGCAATTTTGCCTAAATGCATCCTACTTTCACAGATGCCGTAGAGAGTGCATTATTCGAAGACACATAGTGAGGTATTTGTGATAATTCCTTTTAGAAAAACCTTTTTGTGAGAAAAGAAATATAGCGGTATATGACACAGTACCGCATGACATACTCTTGTCTACGCGTTAAAAGCATTCATGCGTCTGTATACATAGCGTTAGTGTTTTTATCGAAATGTTTGTATTACGCGTCACCCCAGAACTATTTTACGGGCGATTATGCGACTTGGGACCCGGGTAAAATAAGGCCTCCATTTTATGCCCGCCCCTGTCAGCCTGTCGTCATTTCCGACCTCTTCGAATGTCAAAATCACATATTCCTGCAGCAAAACAAAAATACTTAACTATTTTTTCGCTAACATAGTAAATTTCCAAGAAACAAGAAATTTGTCTTTAAAAGGAAGTGGATTTCCTTACATGCACAACTTCTGAACCTGACTTAATTTAGGCGATACCAGTCGAGGTTTTCTGGCAGTCGGGCGTTGGTTGCCTTTTTCTGTGGTTTTGACATTCTCCACACTATGTTTGCCTTATTCTTTTAGTAAAATATTTTTGACAAGGAAGACATGAAGAAATTTAAATTGTTAAGCACCCCTTGGCTCCACCAATTGGAGTCAAGCATACGATCCTCTATAGAAATTGGAGTTAAATATTTTGAGCACCATCTCGAACCAAGAACGAAGAAGTCCAGGAGAATTCAACTCTACCTACATGATGGGTCTTCAACCACCGGGTGCAAGTCTACCGTACAGAGCCATTTCTCGGCCAAGCGGGTGATCGATAAGAAGAGGTCGGCCACAATGAGACCATTTGGAAGGTTTCATAAACAGTCGATAATTGCATGCAAATTAGACCGGTTATGCCGGCTGACGAATGTTCTTTACCTGGTAGGGGCATTAACTGCACTTGCTTTCCTGCATAATTTGTAGTGTAGTCACTGTACTCAGCTGTGTTCAGACATCGGCGACGACAAATTTGAATATTCATGTTATTCCCCGTTTTTGCTACCTTTATTGTATGTTATCTCGCAGTTCTTAACGCCCGCGTGGATATCTATCTCACCAAACCTGAAGGTTTGAACTAATCCACGGAGTAAATTATGGCTTAAGAGCTGACGTCATTAATGATGACTTGTTCGATTGTCCGCGTTCACAGTTTTTGTAGTCAAGCCATGAAGGGGGGGATATGAGTGCAGAGGGTGGTATTCGCGATAAGCTGAGTCCCACCCTTTGCACTCATATCCCCCCCCCTTCATGAGTTGACTACAGAAACTGCTCATTTGATGTCGCATTCTCACAGTCTCTGACGATGGCCTCCTGTACGAGACCGAAAGCTCAGACTAATACACCTTCTGTCCCAGAGATCGTGTTTTCATCTTCCTTACTCGTTTATTTGTCCGCGTTCACAGTAATTATATTGTCCCGTGGTGTTTTCTCTTTGTTTGAAAGTTCATCAGATTCGGTAAAAGAACCGAAACACACATGACAATGACAATTTAATTTTTTTAATTTCATCATGGGACGCCTGATGATTGTCTCCAATGTATGCAGCAGGAAACTCGAGTTGAACTATGGAGCCAACTGATGACGTTCAACAGTGTATGATGCCGAAATCGCGAAAACCGATGGCTTGGATGCAGGAGTGCAGCACATCACAATAAACGCGAACATGCGCTGTGAATGCAAGAATTAATTTTTTCCGTAGGTATGCGTGTGGCTGAGCGTGTGTTCGCGCAAAACCATCAACACGCAGTAAGAATCGTAGTTTAGACAGTTGTCATTTGAAGTGGAACTCGTTCGTGCTCAGAACTCAAAACCAGACAACAATGGTTGCGTCTTGGCGTCCCCACCTTTGTGAGCCCCAAGACTTTCCCGTCTGCTATCTGGTTCGTAGACGGGTTGTTTAGTCTTGCCAGCCACGCCCACCGTTAACTTTGTCATGCAGACGGGACCTGGGGGTGAAGGGGAAAAGGGGGCGGGGGGGGGGGGTAGATACATCACGCATCTTCTTATCTGACAGTTTGACCGCTGTTGTCGACAAAATCCACCTTGTGCCCCACAGTGGGATGTTCGCACGGACATCGGCTTGCGAGTGACTTGACTCACAGAAATGATGGACTTTCGCTGCATCTATTGCATCCTCTCCCTCCCCCCCGCCCTCATCCGCCTGAGCCCAGTCTCGAGATAAATTCAAGCACGCCAGAGGCGAGACCGGACGCGTCGGCTGACAACGCCTAACAGGCCGTCTGTGCGTACCGCACACGCTCGGTGACCCAGGGTGACACCAAAACGGCAGCGGGGCAGCTTGGATCCTAATTGCAAATGACGACCGCACAAGAAGGAGCCACAACAGACAGACTCTCCGTCCTGATAGGATAACCGAATGATCCCCTCGGTGTACAGCCCTTCAGACCGCGGTTTTTAGCACACCGTAGTCAGAATCGGCCTCACTCTCTGTTCCCTCTCTCGGGCATCACCTCAGTGTCCGAGCTGGCAACCATTTGGAGCGGAAATTGAGTAGTTTTTGACAGATATAAGTTGAACCGCCTGCACCTGCTGCGGAGGACTTGCTCGCCTCAAAATACATTCTCGAAAGTGTTATAGCGGACAACATCGTTGTCTGTCCCTGTCGATCTTTCGAACAGGCAACTGCTGCATACCCTTAGGATTATACTCTCTGTGCACCCGTAAGCAATGTTCACTGTTGATAATCCTTACGAAATTGGAGGCCAAACCCTAAGCGACTTACCATCCTGTCTCCGCGCCCAAGTCGCTTTCATTACAAACGGTTGCCGAAAAATTTTTTGCTGTTTGTACCAGCGCTGACACTTCTTTCGCCACTTTGTTCCGGCTCAGCCCCGTCCATGTTTAATTTGCCGACAATGTTACTAAATGCTACAAGCGGACTTTCCCCTCAGCCGCACAGAGCTACCTTTTAATCCTCCTCTGACTAGACAGGGATAGTTAGGTGAGAGTAACACAAGATTTAGTGATACCCCCTTAAGTCTCTGCCTGTTTACCTGCAGAATAATTCTTGGTTATCTGAGCTGCTGCCGATCGGTGTTGCGCTAAACATTGATTGAATCATTCGCTATCAAGGACAAGGAGTCGGGCTGCTCCGTTTCAAAGCAGCAGCGTTACGCTTGCATTATCACAAATAGATTAAAACAATTTTCAAGGTCGTGTGTGGAAGTGCGGCGCATGTGCGCATACGCCCGCATCGCTGCTTATTCGGGGGCCAACATTTGAATTTCCTGTCGCTCCTGTATCATGTGGGAACATGGTTGTTGTAATTTTTCACTGACAGGTGTCATTATAGCAGTTCACACGTAGGATAGACGAGCCGACAATAGATATTAGTTTGGAGTGAGTGTCGATCGACCATGCTGACTGAAATCGACATCCATAAGGTGCACGTTATACGCAAGATTTTTTGGATTTTGG